GGCGGCCCGAAGCATCTCGGCAATGTGCCAATTGCGATCACAGTTCCCCGCCGCAACGGTATCATTCGTTATTGCGCCACCGCGCAGTGCCGCCCCACCGGGGCGAGGCCTCTGGGTGCTTCCTGGCCCGAGGTTGCCGAGCCTTGGCGACCAACAGGGCGAAAGGTAGGCGCCTCGGCTTGCTACGCGCGCGGCTGGGCGTGGCCGAGGAGACGGGGGCCACGCGGCGGGGCCGCGTCCACCAGTGGAAGCCCGACCACGCTGCGCGCAGGGAGGCGCGGCGGAACGCGCTGGCCAGCGGGGGCCCGTCGTTCGCGGCGCTCGCGGAGAACGAGCGGGAGGAGAACGACGGCGACGTGGATGGCGAGCCGCTTCGCGACCCTTGAAAACAAGAAAACCTTGGGGCCTCGCTGGGCTGTGCCTGGGGCCTCTCTGGGTCCATCGGGTCTTCCTAGGGGTGCTGAAGGGGCCTGCTTGGGCGCACTGGACCCTCTTAAATATGTCCCTGCCGCTCCTAGCTGAATGTCTTGGGGCCTCTCTTATTGGCGTTTCTCGGGCTCCATCCATTGCGTAGTCTATGATATTGCGAACTCTGCCGGCTCATGGTCGGATGAATTGCCACATGGCGTTCGCGCTATTCGGGTTCAGGCCCCACGATCAGACTCGCCCGCGATCTGCCCACTCACGCTCAGACTCACTCGTGTTCCAGCTGACTCAATCACGTAGCGATCCCTGTCACACCATATAGTCGATGTCGTTTATGTTGGCCCTGCGCGCCCATGATCAGCCCATGACCACCGCGACGTAGCAGGCTTGCGATGACCCCCCTGCGTTGGCAATTGACAAGGGGTTGGCGGTCGGGGACGGGAGTCGCACCCACTGCAGTTTTGACGAAGTGGGGGGGCGGTTCGCATCTGGCGCGGGGGATGGGTCAGAAGGTGTATTGCACGTTCCGTTCCCCTTCCCCACACGTGGCACTTGGCCACTCCAGGCGCTGCCCGCCCACCCGCCTTGTCTTAGCCGCACCCGTCGCCGCCCCGACGCGGCCCGTCCCATCGGACCACGAGGCGCATGCCGCAGTGGGAGGGGGGCGGCGGAGGATGCCATGAGCGAGCTGGGGGCATGCAAGGACCATGTCGAACACAGGAGGGGAGGGCGAGCCAAGCTTTAAACACCCTCCCCCTCAGCATCGTGCCACTTCTCCTCATCGTTGCCCTTATCGTTGCCATTTAGGCCGATGGTTCTTCCCAGCGGGGCCTGCGGGTTTCGCTGGGGCGTTGTCGGCTTCAGCTTGCGTCTGCGCCATGGCGCCCTGTGCATTGGAACCCACGCCGTGGCGCCTGCAGGCGGTGTTCGGCCGCGAGCCGATGGCGCCTTCTTGCGTCGCCTCGTTTAGGCGAGGCGCGGGCCGACTGGCGAGCGACGCCGCAACGCCCTCGTTCGGCGCGCCCCTTACTTGCGCGCGCTCAAGCAGCTCGAGCGCGACACGTTGGCCAAGTTCAAGCTGCTGCTGCTCGAACGGGGCCAGGCGACACTGCGCGACGCGATGAAGCGCGCAGGGGTCTCTGGGCAGCAATGACATTCATCGTCGCGGGCGGCCTAGCGAAGGGTGGCCCCTCGCAGGGCGCCGCGGCGCGCAACCAGGCCAGCGTTGTTACGCGCGGGCGCCAATGCAGGGCGCAACGGGGTTGCACGGCGAAGCTCCGCGTTGCGCTGCGGGCGTCGCAGGAGGAAACGCTCAACGTGCCCAGCGTCGACGTCGCTCCAGACAGCGCGCCCTCCATCAATCTCCAAGTCGCAATCGCGCTTTGCGGCGCCTTCATCGCACCTGCTGCCCTTCCCGTTGTTTGTGGCCAGGCGCACCACCTTTTGGAGCCCAGGCGCGCATGTGCGCTGAACCTGTTGCGTCCGACTTGCCAGCGGGGTCGCGCGCTGTCTTAGGGCGCCGCGCGGCACTCGGGCCCGCGATTGCAGTTGCGCTTGGAGCGCGATGGTCGAGCGTGCCGCTCCCGAGCGCCACCGCGCGCTGGTCATTGCACTCCCCACATTGTCCAAGTCATGGCGTGGGTCGCAGCGAGTAGCCAACCGAGCCCCGTGCTCAGATAGTGAAGCTTGGTGGGTGGCACAAACAAGTGGCGCGCGAGTGGCGTTGTCCGTGCGAGGGCCCCTGCTGAGCCGCTGCGTTCGGACTGCGACATGCCGGTTCAGGCCAGCCAGGGCTCGCGCAGGCGAGCGCTTCATGGGCGTCTGTGCAACGCGGTCGCCCGGCGCCTGCATCTGCAACCGCGTCGGTACATCTGGGCACCACTGTGCCTCCGCTCTGGCGCGTGGTTGTCCGAGCTTCTCGGGTGTTGGCCATGGGCGGTTTGCTTCCGTCTGCGCGGTTAGCCGCTGGCTGCCGATGGAGGCGGCTTCACACTCCAATCGGCGCGCGAAGGCAGCCAAGGCCAACTGCGAAATCCACGCAGCGGCCGCGACCTCATGAACGCCACGGGCGGGC